CTAAGAAATGCAACTCTTTGACATCTTTAAAATAAATTTGCATGCATTAACGTTGCACACGTTGCTTCATTTGAGTTTATACTACATGTAATACACGTACATTAGTTTACAAGCTGTGCAAATGGTAGATCTTATTGTTGTACATAACTGTCTCTCACTGGTCTCTATAAAAAGCACAAACACTTAGCAATATGGAATAACTCAATTAAATGTGACTATCGAGATATCTTTTGGCCTAAAATAATAAATGAATGGCCAAAAGTTGACAACACACCAATGATTGATAATGGCACTGAAGTTCTTGATTTTGATGAAACTTGGTGTGAATCCTCATTGAAACACACATTCGTAAAAAGGCGTATTTAAAATGTAATATTTCTTTTCAAAGATTTTTTAATTTTAAAACAATACCATTGCATTAAATGTCTAGTAGTTTTTAAAAATACTGCAATAGAAATAAAATACAACAAAAAACTTTGATATGTCTAACAAACGTTTGTAAAACAATGTATGACATAGTTCACGATTCATAAAATGATAAAAAAATAATGTTAACTTATTGTATTAAACCTAAAAACTGATGTATTTGACAATGCTATTTAAATATTTGATTCACTCTTCATAAAACAAATCTAATGATGGTGACTATCGACATGTTGATCAAATGTCGAGGTCAAATATGAAATTTTAATCCAGTTCCGTACACATTTTTAAATGCTTTCGAAATAAAAAAAATCACATGACATGGATGCCAATATATATTCCACTATTTTGGCAGTCTAAGGACATACAGCGTAACAGCAGGACGATCAGACAAGGGAAAATCTGTATGCAACCCTAAATGGGGGCATCAAACACTTTATGGTATCACTATTATGATATTAAAATTTGAACCGATACAACTGCATTTAATTTCAAATTTCGCTAATTTGATAAAACTCGGTGATCCTCATTATCCTTTTCATATCATTTATGCAAAGTGATATACCCAGACAGAAAACGCAATAATTAACCCTTTTAGAATTTTATTGACAAGAGATAACGATGAATGAATGAAATGTTTTCAAACATATACAGGAGAACAATACACAAGATGATGTGTTATCATAAAAGTTCAATAAGAACATGATTTGCTCTTACAAGTTAAACAAGAGCCATGGCAGAGCGTGACCAACCTCCATTTTTCCAAAAGCAAAAACACCAAGAGAAGAACATTACTGTAGTGGGGAGTTTTCAAAAACATATTTTTCGTGTGGGTACAGAATTGGATTAAAATTTCATACTCCATATTTGACCTGGTCATTTGATCAACATGCCGATGTTCAGATTATGTGCTTTGCTTTTAAACAAAACCTAAAATTAATTACAAATTTCAATGATTTGACATTTACGATCAAGGTCATTTTAGGTTTGATCATAAATGTTATTTTGTCCATATAAAAATAAAAAAATGTAAATTAGTAAGAAAGTTACCACAATTTAAACGAAACTGATAGAACTTTTAGGACTTTTGAACATTAGACTGTTTTATTGGCTTTTCTTTCTTAACAATACTTGTAGTTTATTCTTTTATACCATTTGGCAATAAGACCATGATGACTTCACAATCATGGTACGATTGGCGCACAATAACAAACATACAAGTACTTAATATCTTCAACGATTGGAACATGTTAACATAAAATTAGTATAGCTATATATTACAATAATAATGTCACTAAAGAGATGCTAATGGATGTAATGCGGAAATCCTATTGGTACTTTCATATTTATAATTATTTCATATTTAAACTCCACCTTATTGATGACAATAAGAACCTCCATATTAAGCTATTGGTTTTGGCTAGACGAAATTCAAGAACAAAAACTATAGATGTATCGTAAACATCGTTTATTAATACTTCTACTCAAATAACGATACTTCACATTTGGTAAGACTGTAGTCTAAAAATAGAACATTTCTCAAGACATTTCTTAATATAGTTTCAAAAGAATTTAATAAAGTTTATATCTAGTGAATGCATGCAAAGTTTAGTGTAGATACATTTGTATTTGTTATCCAAAATAAATACAATCTTTACAATTAATCTGACAAGAAAAAGTGTCACGGGATTTTGAAATCGCCTATTAAATGCAATATATATATTTAAATTCTTTTTAGAATAAGACTTTCGCATAATTTCGCATTAAATAAAAATTTATTTAGGTTAATAAATGTGCTGCTGAAACCGACTGATATATTGATCGGAAATTATTGAACGGGAGAATATGTACACTTTGTTCCCTAAATGAGGTAGGTACAGAAAATCATTATCTGTTACGTTGTCTTTTCTTTACATTCAAAAGATTTATAAGTATAAACTGTGCGATAAACCTGTGAAGATAATGCCATTGTCATTTTTCTTTCTTCTCAGCAAGCTCTGTTATGTGACTCTGATTGACTATACACTTTGCATTTTAATATTGGTTATACAGTTAATCATATTTTTACAGGCTTCGATACATAAACTAAAAAGCAAACTGAAAATGTCAGTGAACTTTACGTCTTAAATCATTGCCAGTTACCAATACACAAATCATGCTCAAGATAGGGTCGTTAATATGATTTTGTACAAGTACCACTTAAGTGCAATGGCAGCGTTACAGAGTACAGGACATTGCGATAGATTTTTTTCTAATAAAGTAACGACTTATTTTGTAGGAAACAAGTCAATGAGTATGGGATGCAAATTCTTACAAAAGACGGATGAAAGAGTGGGCACTGAATCATGTTGCACCCTTTGTGGATATAACTAGAAAACTGAAAACCCATACCAATAACGAATAGTTCAGAAACTTCATCAACTGCGGAATTTACGTTTCTAAATAAATTTCAGCCATTGTTGAAGAAAATGAACAACGATCAAATAAGGCCGACGAAGAAAAAATATTGTTGATTGACGATTTTTTAATAATGGAAGAAAAACCTATTCCACAAGGCTTTCATATGTACAAAATACAAGTCAGTTTGTCCATACCTATTTTCTGTGAATCAATATTAAAGCACACAAATTGCAACTGAAGATGTATCCCAATTGAGAACTCATGTTATGTACCAGTCTTCTTGAGCAAATTTAAACACATATATGAAAGACCAGTTGGGATATTTTCAAAAAAGATTTTTGATAGACAAACTCTTCGGTACTAATGATCTGATAGACATTCTCATTCAACTGGAAAACAATCCTTATTTTCGTAATAAATTTCTACCGCTCTTTAATAAACATTTGTTAAAACCTATATAAAGTGAGAAAAATACATGGATATTGGATTAATATCAACGCCGAGAGCACAGTCATATATATTGAAATTTGGAATAAAATGGAAAGCCCTGGAACTCCCGATATTTAATAATACTTTACATGAAATTGTAATGGAGAACATAACGAGCGTGCTAGGGCTATACAAGATATAGGTAATTAATAATTAACAATTACATTTGATTTTCATTCACCATAAAATTGATATTGACCAGGGTGCTGGTACATGTATAACACATACACAACATGACAAGAGGAAAAGTAAGTTTTTCAAGGATAACGATTATACAAACCAAGATATTGTTATTTCAACAGACGCCTACCCGCCCCGCCCCCACACTCTCAGCTCCTTATGGTAAAAAACCCTACTGGAATCAATTAAAAATAAATAAAACGATTTAAACGTTCACGAACACCAGCAAAACGTAGAATTATTTGTTCATATCAGTATTTACCCTCGTTATGTTTCATGTTTCGATCCGAGCTCGTTATGCATTTGTCACTCCCTTATCATGTTTTATATAAACGATCCAGTCTGTTGTGCCGATATGTGTTGACAAACATTTTGTTTTTAACTGTTAATTTTTAAATATTTTCTTTGTGTTACGTTGACTTGAATGTAAATGAAGCCCTTGTGCATTGGCACTTTCAAAACATGATTACCTTTCTTGATTTTATATAAGTCATAATTATTTTTGTAGTAACTTATGTGTTTTGTCCTTGTTAGTTTGTAGACACATTATTTCTCATTAGATCTGCCTGTCTGATAAACGAAGTCAGTCCTTTATGCCGATATCTTATGTATTAATTGTTAAGATTAATATAATTCACTGTTACTAATGATTATTGTATGTGTTCTCACTTGTATATGCCCGAGGATTAAACTTAAGTCCGTATGCATTGTCACCTTCATTACATGTTAATGAATATTTGCTTCATTTTATAAATGCTTATATTGATTTATAAGAATCTGTCTTTAGTTTTTACCTTTCTAGAGACAATCATACTGGTCATTTATTTATAAGATAAGAGGTTGCAAACATAATCAATAATAATAATAAAAAAGAGGAAAAAACAGAATCCCTGAAGAACGCCCAAATGCGGCAAAATTGAAAATCTTGCAGAATCGGTTTGATTGACCCTGTTAATCGACTTTAGTGGTATTTGAAAGCTAACGTCTACGCAGAATGCAACATTTAAACATGAAAATGGTGAAATTTGAATCTAGAATCAACTGCAGATGTGTTCCTAGGCGGTTTTCGTTGAACCTTCATTGACACAGAACCGTACCATTCCATAAAAAGCGGAGTATTGTCCCGTAGTAAAAGCATAAACATCCCCATTAAAACCTTCAGCGTAAACCTTCAGTGTTTTGATTGATAGTATTTGATGAGCATCATTTCTATTCACGAAGAGATCCATAACAATGTAATATCCATTACAAGAAGCAAAATATGGCTCAAAATAGAAATGCATTTTTATCTAACAGTAAGTGGATTTTGAAGACATTTGGTCAGCCTCATTTGCCGATTCATATATACTTTCATGTCAAGTTTTATTAAAACTGGACCAATTTATTCTCAGAAAAAGATTCGGACAGACGGATGGACGACGAAATTCTATTATCTCTTCTAATTTTATCGGCGGGGTGATATTGACATACTGATCTGGTGATATCCATATAATATTGGAGACAAAGGCAAGTAGAGTGTTGCTCTTTGAAACATAAATGAAACTCTGTCTGCCAGTCTTCTTTCACGCTTCCATTCCTCTGTGAGATACTTTAAATAATTGATACTCGCTTTTCAGGAAAAATATTGAAGGTGAAAAAGTCCGATCGCATTTAAATTCATTCGCGGATGTTTTAAAGGAATTATTGATTAGTGATTATAAGCTTCGGTAGTGCGCGGCTAAATTGAATTTAATGAAAAACTGAGGTCTGGTGAGATCTCAGTTCTGTCACGGAATTACGGAGCAAATAACGATCAGATTGTAGCTGGAGGCTAAGTCAAATGTTTCTTTTATTTGAAAGTAAATTTTGGGAGTACATTGAGCATCTTATACTCGGATCTTTTGTGATATGTGATACAAATTATATTAGGATAAAAGAGTACAGTGTAATGTTCACCGAAATATAATATATCATCGGCATTATATAAACAGAAGAAAATAAAACATTAGCAATTGCTAAACAAACGTTTTGTTGTGTTAAATAAAAATCAAATCTTTAAAATGGATGGACATTCAAGTGAACCATCGAAAATGAATACACAAGTGTCCATCAATGTTCCAGAGGAAAATCCCCGTGGACTGCATGGATTGATTATGCGCATGCGCAACAGAAACTGGAGACAAGTTGGAGAAAATATGAAAGAAAACTTACTTCTTATATTGTTGCTCGGTTCTGTTATCCTTGGGGCTGGAATGGGCTTCGCTGTTAGGAATAGTTTTGGTACTATGAGCAAAAGGGAGATAATGTACCTCCAGTTCCCAGGTGAAATCCTCATGCGAATGTTGAAGATGTTGATTCTTCCACTCGTTATCTCTAGTCTTATTGCGGGCATTGCTGGTCTTGATGCATCAACTTGTGGAAAAATGGGCCTGCGTACCATTGCATACTTTGCAACAACAACATTGAGCGCCGTTATCCTTGGTATAATCATGACATATATAATGAGGCCAGGTTCAAACTCAGATAAGAAAGGGATTCCAAGATATGGAAATGCCGCAAAATTAAACCCCGTTGATACCTTCCTCGATCTTATAAGGTAATGATTTCTCCCTATCCGTATTATTTTTCGATAGGTATCACTCAAACTAACACTTGGGAGTTGGCAACACCAAAATCATGCACACATCTTTATCACAAAATATGTCTTTTTATAAAAGCCGAGCCGTATTTGTTAGTATTTAAGACCATTTTATTTAGGAATTTATTATTTATTTGCTTGTATCTAAGACCATTTATTTTATAACTTTATCTCTAGAAATAAGTATTAAGACCATTTTATGTATAACTTTACACTTTTTTAAGTATTTAAAATTATTTCATGTGGGACTTTAGTATTAAAAAGTATTTAATAAAGGACATAAGACAAATTGAAGATCGTTCAGCACGACATTATTGTTGCGTGTGCATGTTTGTTGTACATTTAGTTCATTCTATTTCAACAATATTGTCGTTTCGGACGTTCTTTAGGGAGTCGGTTTTTCTCTATTTTATTCTGTTATTTTGTATTTGTTTCAATTTAAGATCATTTATGTCTGTATTTGTTGGTATGCAGGTAGGAGTTTTGTTCTTTGCTTGTTATATTTTAAGAAAATTTCATGGCGGATATTATGCTCCAATTGTATCATTCCATGTAGAACTTTATCCTCTTATGTTTGTAATTTACTTTTAAATGTCTTACACATGAGGTGTTCTGTGTAGAAAATATGTGTGCTTAAAGCTGGTTCCTATATATTCCACGAGAGTGTGATATCCTTAAAGTGTTTTTGAAAGTTCTTTTCTCATGAAAACTTTAAACTTGTTCTCTATCTAAATAAAGCTGTTTTCTCCCAACTATGAGTACGGGGTTGGGGGTAAGTGGCACCGAAAAAGTAATGAACATATGGCGACTGCACAACTTCACTGGTGAAGTTAGAGCTGCGGACACCTCTTTAAATCAAAAGTTCTTTCGGAAGATTTAAAAAGCAAATGATTCCCTTTATAGAAATTTATTTTGTTCAATCGTTCCATGCATAACCAATGTAGTTGGATGCACATCCCAAAGTAGAACAATTCAAAATAAGTTTGCTAGTCGAAAGGATTTAACAAACCAAAACCTGAACATTTATAAGAAAACACAAATGGTACAAAAAGATAGCTAAGCACTTGCAAACTGACTATCATCTTGTTCAAAATTTGCCATGTTTAAATACAAATGTAAAGTGCAACTATATTTAAGAGTTTAGGTCACTAAAATCTTCAGATTTACAAGTTTATGAGGTAATAATGCAATGTCATAAACATAATGTGATAAAACGATCTGAAGACTTGTTACATTTTAAAATTCACTTAGAAGATAGATTATGCCAAATAATATCACCAAATGTCTTAAAAAACGATCTTTGGTATTAAAAAGAATGTCATAGTGTCGCATTTAAAAATACCCCAATTTCATTTCATCACAAAAAGTAATCAAAGTGCTTATAACACAGAATGCGACATATATGAAAGCGAGCATAATATAATGTTCTGTACAACGGTTATGAATACTAGTGCATAATGTTATACCTTACATTTTATTCAAGATTACTAGATGCTTCTGTTTGAAAAATAAAATATTTGTGAAGAACAAAATAGTTCACGACCAATATTTACCATATTAAATGGTTTCAAGAACCAAAAAGGGTTAATACCTTGAAATGATTTTTATATGCGTATTTAATTGTATGCATTCAAAGTCATATCATTGAAAAGCATGTAAAAAGTAACGTTGATGAAGGATTGATTACTGTGTGTATCCGTATCAGTAAACCTTTTGCGAAATCTACTGTAACAGTGAGTGTAGGAAAGAAATATACTACAAAAGAATGTTTTAACTGTGTATTTCTTTGCAATATGTCCTTTACATCCTCTCTACAATATGCTAAAGAAAATCGCAATTATTTGCCACACCCATGGCCTCGGCATGTTCTTTGGGCTTTAATCATGCTAACATTTTGCATACAAATATTCATTTTTATATAATCCTTAGAGAAATAACAAATACTAAATGACTTTATGAAGAGAGGATTTGTTCATTCATTTAGTATAAATAAAGCAGCTTAAGTTGACGTTTGACCAAGTGTTCAAAGATAATGCGCTGCTTATGACTTTGAATTCTACACAAATGTTAGTGAAGTATAAAAGATGATATTTCTGTATATGTTTCTGTTAGAAAAACGAAATTATATAAATGTTCATAGTGTTAAAAATCACGTAATGTAAGGTCAATATCACAGGCGGTCATAAGAGCTTTAAATGTTGTTACGAATTTTGATATACATGCATTTTTGACCGATAAACAATAAAAATAGAAGAAAAAGAGTCCCCAAAGAACACCCAAAACGACAGAATTGAAAATGTTGGTCCGATTGAGCATGTTCATTGAACCGTAGTTGTAAATGCAAGCTACCGTTATGTTTGCCAAATTAACCAGTTCGCGACAAAGTTTTACCAAGTTAACCATATTATGACAATGCTTGCGAATTTAAATATATAATGAAATCAAGTGCTCCATGTTTTGAATTTTACATTGGTATTTTACCAGCATCCGGTTTATGGATGGCAGTAAATTGTCAATTCCTAACACCTTTACAATAACAGTGAAATTGGCTTGCACAACTACATCCTAGAATTGGAACTGAGAATTCCGATTTATTGAGTGTATGTAACTTGCTAATCCAATTTGAAAACCTCAATATAAGAGAAATGCAAACGGAAAGTTGAACAAAAAGTAGTTTTGGAGTAAATTACGCTAATAGTTTCTGAGAAAACAGATCTTAAAAACATGAGCTAGGGCAATAAATTGCAAAAGGTGTATAACTTGCAAAAATAATTTTGAAATTGCGTTCAATTCTTTTATGATCATGTTCAGCAAATTTGAAGTGAACATCTTTTATAGTGTCTGAGAAAGTGGACCTTAACGAAATGGGTAACTAAGCCGACGGCAACGCCTACGTAAGAGACATGGCAATAACTTCTTTAAAACAAAATGGTGCCGAACAATGCATAAGATATAAAAGGACCAAACGACTCTTTTTACTAACCTAACTGATCGCTACATTCTGAAGGATATCTATAAAAAATTCTTTAGGTCACCTGTGTGAATGATTATTCATGCCAAGTAAAATATAAAATCTAAATCACTTATGGCAGCATGTCAATTTGACTGCATTTTTACTTTTACTAACCATTTGCACCATTGGATTGGCGTTATGTCAATAAATATTAAGGAATCTTCTTGATTTTTAAGGGACAATTAGACAGAAGCACTTTTACGCTAAAACAATTTTATTGTTTGAAATAGCTGTTAACTTCGAAAGCATAATTGTGTCTATCGAAATGTAATTTCCGTCAGAGTTCCTTGTAATTGTTTTTGTTCTTTATCACGAAAGCTATTGATTGAAAGCTTTGTTTCCATGTTCAACAATTCCTGATTTTTCTATGTCCGGTAATTATTCCCAAATAAAATTAGAAGTAGACTGACTGTATATATAAGAATACAAAGTCGGCATCTTTGCACAAGTCTATACTTATTGACAACCGAGAATTGTTAATAAGTCCAATAAGTCCAATTGTCATATTTGATATATCTTTCTGGAAGAAAAAGAAACCTGGAAGATATTAGAGTAGGAAATATTGCGTACATACACATCGAAGGACATTGGAGTAGTAAATATTATGTATCAACTATTAATGACATCTTATATGCCAGACACATCATAAAGCAAAACGAATGAGCAGATGAAGCATATAATACAGGAATACAGGTGGAACGTATCTAGTCTTCTTTCCTTTACCACCTGCCGTCAACTTAATTTTTAGATGCATCAGACGTATAACTCCGTTGATTTCTCATCTAGGGGACACACATTCTTGCTCATTGCATAAAGGTTTCATGATCACCGCCCTATGAACACATATGCGGATGTTGTTTCTTTATTCAAAATTTTACCATTGTCATATAAAATGTTGAATACAGCATCAGCCGGTGCTAGGGGGCGTGGATGGAAGCCTGCATTGACAACTACCACCCATGAAAAGGCCCTATCAAACCTAGCCCCCTACATTTTCAATTCCGCCGTTTAGGGCGTTCTTTAGTGACTCTCTTTTTCTATTTCGATGTATCTTCGTGTTGTCGCATCGTTGTAATTTTTGCCGAAAAAAGTAAAGAAGCAACAGATGAAACTGGACACATTTTATGCATCGTATATTTGCCTGATTTTGCCATCCTTCTAGCTTATTCGTTTGAGGTTGTGAAAATGCGAAAACACAAAGGCATATTCATGTGTTTTTCTTTCTTCATTTTCCTGGCAAAAAAAGCGAAAAAAAACGACATTGCGTAAATAAGTCACGATACTATTAAACACTTTGTCGCAAATAGAACGAATCGATTTTATATAAATTGTTTAAACCTTTTAAAGAAGCCGGTATTTGAAACTTTTTGCCTGAATATTACAAGGAAAAATGATATGATTAAATAATGTAACCTACTCTTTTCGTTGCGCGTCCTACTATTCGTTTACAACAAAATGTCTCAGTCAAATTGCTTGTATACTAAATTTAGGAAAAGAAATGCTTTACTTCGTTTATAGTTTGAACATGTTTCTTTAAAATCTAATTACCTTTCAGGAATTGTTCAAATGTAATTAATCCGATTCCCAGTGAGCAAAGAAACCAGAATTAAACAAGATCGACTCTTGTAACAATTTTCCACGACGTCTAATTTTCTTCCCAATAAACTATTTACATATTCTTTAAAAGATCTCGACAGCATAAGTCGCTTTTAATTTAGTTACAATGTTAGTTACGTGTCACTGTTCGGTGTATGAGAGAATTTGCCTAAACGTGATTTTTATCATTGTTTAATTGATTTTTATTATTGCCTCAATCGATTTTTATTATTGCCTAAACGTGATTTTTATCATTGTTTAACGTAATTTTTATTATTGCCTTAACGTGATTTTATCATTATTGATCTATATTTATAATTTATAACTTATTATTTTAACCCTGTCCATG